ATTTACTTTACATTCACTTCTCTTTACAGAAGTGAACCAAATGCTGAGATATAGGCTTACTGTTATTTAAGTTTTCTTACAGGTTTAAGATGGCCTCGCATCCCAAATTTCCCTTTCAGGACAATGAAGAGCTGAACGTGTATCAACTGATCGTTCAATTATTCCATTCGATCTAGCAATCAAAAAGGGAAAATAATTGAGAAAAAACATGACAAAAAAAAGGAGAAAGGATAAACTGGGCAGTAAGTATGTGTTATACCACTAACCAAAATAAAAATACCCTATAGCTGCTTTCAAAGTGGTGTTTGACTGAGAAATTAATGTTGTAATGACTTTCTGTTGTGTCTGATGCCATCCCTGGTCCCTAGGCTTCAGTGGTTTTAGCGCCCCACTGTGCTTTCGGCTCAGCATCACTGCCATGAATCCAAATTTAATGTATTCAGGCTCATACTTCCTCATCACATGCTTCGGAGCTTTTACTGGCGCATGGTTTCAAAACACGTTTGTCTATACATGATGATGTGTTGTGATTGCCGTGGTGATATTCAGACTGGTCAATGATGTTGTGCTTTTTTATGCCTAAATTGACATTTTTGAGCACATTTAGATGTAAAAATAACTCACTTTGTATTATCAGAAAATATATACTTTAAATTTGAATCGAACCATTTGGCAGTACCACTGCCTCTGCGGCCCACTAGATGGCATTCTGAGGCCTGCTGGTTGAGGACAATAACCCCTGGCTGCAGCACACGGGGTGGGGCGGGGTCAGACATGGATATCCAGTGCCCCCACCCACTGGTGGATGTCCTAATGAGACAAATAGCACCATCTGCTGGACGACTGCAAGTACAAACACAAATATGTACTCAGCTAAATATAATAGAAACTTATATTAAGAACAACTTTGTGCTTGAATCCATAAATATATTTTAAATATACTTTTTATAACACATGTGCAATGTGGTACTACTGCTCACATACAGTACAGTCCCTGACAAAAGTCTTGTCGCTTGGGTACAAGTTGACCTTAAGTGCCCCTCAAATATATGTCTAATCAATTTTTTTTTTTACAAGAAATGGCTAATTTCAACCCCAACAGCTTTTGAAATAATGTTTTGGTGCCAAATGAAACTGCTGAAAAGCATTCTAACGTTCACAGCTTGGTAAAGCCCACTGAGTCAGTTTTTGCAAAGACAAAAGTCTTGTCGCCTTGTCATATGATGCACCCAATCCTAGATTACAGCCTTACCTGTGATCAATAATTGATCAATCATTTAGTGGGTGTGTATAAAAAGAACCCCAGCACACCAGACCTTCACATCAACTGCAACTTGACCTCTGACAACATGCCTAAGATTCAAAGCGTTGATTATCAAGAGGCTGAAGACCAGATCCACTGCTGAGGTGGCTGACACCTTCAATGTGTCTCAGCGTCAAGTACAAAGAATAAGAAAAAGATTTGAAGAGACTGGAGATGTTTTTGACAAGCCCAGGTCCGGCAGACCCCGCAAGACAACTGCTCGGGAGGACCGTTTGTTGGCTCGAAAATCTAAGGCCAGCCCCTTTTCCACCAGGCCTGGTCACCTCAAGTCCCCGTGTCAACCAGAACAGTTTGTAGAAGTCTGTCTCGAAATGGCCTCCATGGTCTAATCAGTGCCCAGAAACCAGCACTAAACAAAAGGCAATTAAAAAAACGTGTGGCATTTGCCAAGGCCCAATGCCAATGCCAAATATTGCAGGAGACCTACTGGAGCCCGCATGGATCCAAGATTCACCCAGAAAACAGTTAAGTTTGGTGGCGGAAAAATCATGGTCTGGGGTTACATCCCGTATGGGGGTGTGTGAGAGATTTGCAGGGTGGAAGGCAATATCAATAGCCTAAAATATCAAGAAGTATTAGCTACCTCTTACATTCCCAACCATAAAAGGGGTCAAATTTTGCAGCAGGATGGTGCTCCATCGCATACTTCCATCTCTACATCAAAGTTCCTCAAGGCGAAGAAGATCAAGGTGCTCCAGGACTGGCCAGCCCAGTCACCAGACATGAACATCATTGAGCATGTCTGGGGTAGAATGAAAGAGGAAGCATGGAAGACGAAACCAAAGAATCTTGATGAACTCTGGGAGGCATGTAAGACTGCTTTCTTTGCTATTCCTGATGACTTCATCAATAAATTGTATGAATCATTGTCGAACCGCATGGATGCAGTCCTTCAAGCTCATGGAAGTCATACAAGATATTAAATATGGATCTCACAGCACCACTACTTAATTCACTGATGTTATGCAACATATTTTTGTATTTGAAGTAAATTATTTGTTCAATTTTCATATTACTCTCTGTAGGCGACAAAACTTTTGTCTTGCCAAAATCTGACCTTTCTGTGCTCATTAAATCATCAATCTTTCTTCAGTGACGCAAATTCATTTTAGTATATTAAACATAATTTGGGAGGGTTTTAGCTTTCATATGAGCCATTTCTAAAACCAATGGATTAATTAAAAGTCAGGTTATGAGCTGTTGTTTCTTTTCTTTCTTTCTGTCCATAAAATGTAGAGTAAAGTAGATATAGTGTTTGTCCCCAAGTCACATGCATATATTTTATATTTAGTATATTCTAGTGTATTTAAGTTCATTATTTAATTTTTTTTCATTATTTATTTCAATAATGTATTATTATTAATTTATTAGATAAGATTATATCAATGAAGATAAGATAAGATGTTTCTTTAATTGATTGGAATTCTGTAGGAAGATGTGTGCAGAGGTAATTAAGGATGTCATTGTTTTTCTGCATCCCAGAGAATGACCCGTCTACACATTGGCTATTAATGTGTCCAGCAGCCTCTGGAACATCCATCGGAGAGCCCTATAATTTTTGCTGCTGCACTGATGGAGGTGAGGATGGAAAACATCAAGTAAAGTACAATGATCAGACCATACAGTTACTGGATGGCAGTCCTTGACCTTCCTCTCTGCAGTCACTTTGTTCTCTGGGGAGGGACGATCTCCCCTCATGTGGATGGAAGGGAGGATCCAGTGGTTGTCGCAGTTGTCCCACCCCCTTGTGTAGTCATACACTGCAACAAAAATATTTCTGTGACAGAAGCATGTTGGTGAAGTGACTGGGACTGCTCTGAGATTAAACTTTGCAGCCTTTTCCTTCTTACGGGCAGCAGTAGCTCAGTCTGTAGGGACTTGGCTGTCAAAACTGTACAATGAACCCAAACCGTGAACTCAGGAACTGCAAGAGGTTTGTTTAAAGTGAGTGATTTGTATGAATTTTGAGCAGATAATGTATTGTGTTTTTTTTTATATCATTTTTTTTTTGTTGTGGAATATAATATTCATAGGTATGTTTTCATCAATGTATAATCACCTGAAAAGTCCACCATGTTGAACCACCATGTTTCTACAGTAGCTGAAGCCCAGAACGGACAAACTGGACACTGGCTGTAGATTGTGCTTTTCGCGTTTTTTACAGTTTTTGCAGCCACTGTAGTTTCTCCTACACACTTCACAGTCCATCTTCATTCCCAGGCCGTCAGATATAGACACAGGCGTTGTTCAGTTAGTTGCAATCTGCAACTTCACCGCTAGATGCCACTAAATCTTTTAAACTGGTCCTTAAAGTAACCTTTTGTTCTAATGATACAAATTTGTTTTGATTCTGAAAGCATTCTGAAATCCAAAGAGAAATATGGCTGCACAATCCATATTGCTTCAAGCAAGCATATTCTTGTATGTTCAAATGACAGTTCAGTTGTTCGTTTGTAGGTTACAGAGATCTAAGTGGTTACAGAGTGCAATTGAGATAAATGAAACCCAATTTTTACATATTGTGTCAAAGAGACTAATGGGCACAGCAATTTTTGAAATGGATCCAAGATTGAATGAGAGCGCTGCAGCCAGGCAACTGGCTACAATGTAATCATTATGGGCTTTTGCACACTGTGTAAGTATGTGCACTAAGACAGCCCTCTGCTGCCTCTCTGATGCCTGTCCCCACTTTTGTACCTTTTCCGGTATTTACACAACTCTGTGAATTCAGGGTCTATTTTGACAAAATCAGAGCTGGAGATTATGTTGCAGCCAGTTTTGTGGCTGCCATTTGTGGTGTTTAAAATGAATACTGGACCAATTTCCAAAAAATGGTCCCCATTTGTCCCATAGACATAAAATCATGGGAAAATACCTTTTAAAGGACCAGTGTGTAGGATTTAGTGACATCTAGCGGTGAAGTTGTAGATTGCAAACATATTTGACAACCTGGGGATGAGAACAGGCTGTGCAGTGTGAAAGTACACGGTTGCTACAAAACTAGCCAAACAACACTAAAGGCCCTATCTACAGCCAGTGTTTGGTTTGTCCGTTCTGGGCTACTGTAGAAACATGGCGGTTAAACATACCGGACTCCATGGAAGAGGACCTGCTAACCTCTGTAGATAAAAACGGCTCATTCTAAGGTAACAAAAACACAATGATTCTTATATTCAGGTGATTATAAACTAATGAAAACATACCTATGAATATTATATTCCAGTTCTGACAATAGATCCTCCTAAACCCAGGGGCAGGAGAGAATTGCTTAAAGTAAAAACAAGGTAAAAAAAAACCCAAACTCATTAATTATGGGATAATGTGTGAGTCTGCTTTTGACCTGCTGAAATGTATTGTTTTTGTCATGAATTGTTTGCCGTGGTGTGTTATTTTGTGTTAAGCAGAGGGCAGCTTTAAACTAGACTCATTCATGTGCTTATTTTTGCTCAAATTTGAACTGAGCGCGCGGCAAATCAGTACCCGCTCCCGAGGATGTGGGCTGGTGTCAAGTGTGAGTTCCTGGCCAATAGAGGGCTCCAGGTGAGGCGTCACTGTCCGCATGAACTTAACAGCAGTGATGATGGAGAGCAAGCAGAGCCAGGTAACCTGCTAATGTTTGTCGTTGTTTGTGTTTCTTTTTTTAAAATGCGGTTGTTTAAATCAACGGACACTGGCCCGTTAATAGAAGAGAGTGACTTGGTGTGTGCTGTTTGAGTGGCAGTGGCGGCACGGGTCGATTCCGCTTTGATTTGACCAACTGGTTAGTTTGTGTCGTGCTTCACGAGCTGTTTATAAACACGCACGCACGCACTGTTGGCTACATTGTATAAAGTGTCGCGCGATGTTTGCGCTATAAAAGGTCACTTCTTCACGTTTTGTCGCGTTAAACATTGTTGTGTTGTCGTTTTTTCTTTGTATTTCACTGTACTAAGCTACTGCTCGGTTAACCCCCACCTGCAGCCCATTACGGTATCAAAGAACCCGCCAATGCTTAATACAAGTAAGTAAGTGACACGCATATATAACATCACTCCAAGTAGGTAAACCATAGTTTAGTGGCCTAAATGTTTTTCTTTTTCCTCTTTTTTCTTCGATTTAGGTATGTTTTCCGTCCATTTATCGCTGTGCTGGTATTTGAAACGTGCATTAGATTGTTCCATGCTTCACGAGCTGTTTATAAACATGCGCATAGTCGTTACATTGTGTTAAAATGTCCTCGTGATGGCTTTCTAACTTTATCATGTTTTCTTTTGTTAAAAACAGTTTTGAGGAAATCAATGTGATTTGTGTTTTGTTACAGTAGAATTGAAATAAACACTGGGGCTGCACAATTAATCGCAATATGGCCAAGTGCCACATGCAAACTCCAGAAGCTGCAGTTGTTTGTTAAAGGTCAAACATGAGGACTGTATTTCTGCAGAGATGCCCAGGACTACAAATCTTGATCTCCGTTTTTTGTACAGACTCCAAGGTATTTCACATAATCATGATTTTAATATTATTATTATTATTATTATTATTATTAACATTCAGTTTGTAATGCAAAAATGATCATTCCCGTACTAATTGCAAATCATATCGCAATATCTGTCCGAATAATGGCAATATGATGTTTATACCGTATCATGCAGTCCTAATAAGCACCACCCAACTCAAAATCAGTGCTGGGACTGCTGTGTTCATTAAGTTTATGGTATGTGGTACTTTATGGTGTGGACTGCTTCTCAATGAAAGGTTCAGTGCATAGAAACTTTTCCACTACTTTTACATAGAGAAGATAAAATATTAGAAACATCTCACAATATTCAGCAGTCCAATACAACAACAAAAACTACAATATAAAAAAAGAGAAAATCTTAGTATGACCAAAAATGGGTATCACAGTATTTTTCTGATTCTGGCGGTTTAGTGTCTATAAGGTATTTATTTATGTATTTTTTCACGACTGGGCCTTTTTATATATGTTTATAGTGTCTTATTCTACTGTCAGATGTACATAGAATATGAACACATTTGAATGTTACCATGCATATACTTAAAGCTTTGTTTACTATAGGTCCCACATAAAGATACAATATATGAAGGAATCAGAATGTATGAAACAGCTACTGAAACGGCAACTGCACAATTTGAATGAAAAAATGAATGAAAATGAATAAAACATAATAAAACTTTAATATTGCTTCCCTTTTCAAAACCAACTAAAAATAGATGTGTAAACACTAGAAACTGACTTAAAATTGTCCAAGTATGTAAGTATTCAGAGATATTTCTCAAATGTTCTATTGCACAAGAAACGAGTTACAACAGATGTTTAGGTTATGATACAGTATAGCACTATATGAAAAATAAATTGCCTACGAGAAATTTAAACCAGTATACTTGTACATTGCCCAGCACTACTATATCTCTGCTTTTGTTTTACTCTCCATTGTCCAGAGTCCAACCGTGTTATAGGAGTGCAATGCTAAGTCAGTTAGGGCTGCGACTAACAGTTATTTCCATTATTGACTAATCTGTCAATCAGTTTCTTAATCAATCAATTAGTTGCTTGGTCCATAAAATGTCCAAACTTTTAGACTGACACTAGAGGTGGTAGTACAAATACGTTGTTACTGTACTTCAGTAATTTGTTCAGGTGTCTGTACTCTAGTTGAGTATAGAGGTGGGCGATATATATCGTTTGAGATAAAAACTCCTTTTTTTTTTTTGAATAAAAAAAAATTTTTTATAAAATATTTTTAAAATTAAAAAAAAAAAAAAAAAAACCCCCGAAAAAAACCCCCCCCAAAAAAAAAAAAAAGGCGGGCCCCCCCCCACAAAAAAGGAAGGAAAAAAAAAAACAACGAGGCCGGGGGAAAAAAAAAAAAAAAAAAAACACCCCCCTCCCCCCCCCCCCCCCCCTAAAAAAAAAGAAGGTAGAGAAAAAAAAAAAAAAAAAAAAAAAAAAAAACCCCCCCAAAACCCACACAAAATAAAATTTTTTATGGAGGGGGGGGGGGGGGTGTGGGGGTTTGGGCGTAAAGGGACCACCCCCCCCGAAAAAAAAAAAAAAAAAAAAAAAAATTTTTTTTTTGAAGAGCAAAAAGCCTTAAAAATTAAAAATAAAAAAAATTTAAAAAAAACCCCCGGCCGGGAAAAAAAAATTTTTTTTATTTTAACCAAATAAAAACGTTTAATGGGGAAAAAAAAAAAAAAAAAAAAAATAAAAAAAAATAAAAAAAAAATAAAAAAATATTAAAAATATTAAAAAAAAAAAAAAAAAAAAAAAAAAAATTTTTTTATTAAAAAAAAAAATCTAGTTGAGTATTTCTTTTCTGGCAACTTTTACTTTTACCACTCCTAAATTTGACACAGATATTTGTGCTGCAGTAGAGACGTAATGTGACAACACCGACACACACCACAGAATGCAGAGAAACAGCCAGTAGAATTGTCCTTCAAAGAAATAAAGAGAATATTTTTTATTTTTATACTTGAGTATATACTTTTTCACTTTTTCTTCAGTAAAGAATGTGTGTACACTTTGACTTTTTTTCTCAAAATGATTATCAAAATAGTTGTTTAGGGTATGACTTAAAGGACCAGTGTGTAGGATTTAGTGACATCTAGCGGTGAAGTTTTAGATTGCAACTAACTGAACACCGCTCGGGCTGTGAAGCGTGTTGGAGAAAATACGGTGGCCACAAAAAACTGTGTTCTGGGCTACTGTAGAAACATAGAAAGCGACCCACAGTGTCTGTAGATAAAAACAGCTCATTCCAAGGTAACAAAAGCTATAATTAATAATTGCTATATTCAGGTATTTATACACTAATAAAAACATACCTATGAACATTATGTTTTTCCCACTAAATCCTCCTATATGTTACACAGTGGACCTTAAAAGCGGTAGGCTACTTTATGGTGGTGGGGTGCGGGCTGCGTTACACCGAAAGGTCTTGCCAGTGCTTAGAAATGTTTCCACCACTTTTACATAAAGCAGATCAAATATTAGAAGCATCTCACATGTCCAGTGCAACAACATCACAAACAGTATAAAAATGTTTTACTGTCCATTCTAAGTCCAACAGTGTTATTGGAATGCAATTCTTAGTCAGTGCAGTGCTCCAATAAGTGCTCAAGTACTACCATAACTGGGTGAGAACAAAAACCTTTTCACCAGTTTCTCTGTGGATGCAGTCTGTGACTGATGTCATATCAACGCTCTTACACTTCAGATAATGTTTGTGCTGTTGTTGCTTCTTGTCCTTATTACTTGCAGTGATGTCAGCCCGCTGTAATGTTTTCCTGTAAACGATGCAATGCAATGATCTGTACAATGTACAGGGGCTTCTGTTTATGGTCCATAAGTGTGAAAGTGTGTGTGGTCATCAGATTTCTAATGGCATTGATTGCTCAATTCACTGACGGGGAACAGTGTAATAAGTTCAGAAAATGTAATGACTTTGCAGCTTGGACCTGGAAAAGGCTACATTTAAGAAGTATCACCATATAACAATGACCAAAATCCAGGGTGCTGTCTGGTTTCATCACAGTAGCACAGATCTCATATATAACCCAGCTGCTCTTGGCTATAGCTATCTTCAGCTATCTACTGAAGTATACTTGATTGGGATTAAATGGTATAAAGCAGTGGTTCCCAACCTTTTTCCTTAAGGGACCCCTTGTCTATCATTTCATAAACTGACGACCCCTGACTAAGTGACATATTTTATGGATATTTAGTTTTATGAGGGCCATGTGTCGAAGTATCCTTGAGCAAGATACTGAACCCCGAATTGCTCCCCATGCTGTGCATCGGTGTGTGAATGTGTATGAATGAGTTAGTTTCTGTCTGTTTGATGGACTTTGCCATCACTGTGAATGTGTGAAAGGGTGAATGTGGCATGTAGTGTAAAAGCGCTTTGAGTGGTCGGAAAACTAGAAAAGCGCAATACAAGTACAGTTCCATTTACCATTTACCATTATATTCAGAACTGTACAACGAACCCAACCAGTGAACTCAGTAACTGCAAGAAGTTTGCGTAAAACTAATTTAATATGATTTGGATGAATTTTGAGCAGGTTATTTCCTGTTCAGAGAATTGTATTGTGTATTTCAGAAATTATTTTTAACAATCATACGGACTTAATGGGCTTCTTTTCTGACAAATCTAGTGGTTTCTTGTCCACGACGCTTGGCCTTTGTTCTATTAGTCTATTTACTTAACAATGTACTTTACCTTTCTTCAGAGAAGTGAACCAAATCCTGAGATATAGGCCTACTGTATATATTTTCATTTAGTTTTCTTACACCCCTTCAAATCAAGACGGCCTTGCGACCCCCCATGACGCTTTGGCGACACTCAGGTTGGGAACCACTGGTCTAAGGCACAGGGACAGACACTAGGGTTGATCTTTCCTGTTAGTTGGAAAGGTCCTGTTGCTGAGGAGCTCTTTCCCACTTGTTTCCCCCTTAGGTGCTGAACCTTGAGCGGGTGCAGGAGCTGGAAACCTGGCTGAAAACCACCAACACAAAGCTGTCTCAAGTTAACGGCCAGAGGAAGTATGGAGGACCACCTGAGGGTGAGAGAGGCTGCTCAGCTCAAACACACTGCCTCTACACACTACATTACTATGACACTCGTAGTTCCTTAGAGGAACTAAAAAAATACACAAATGTCAGAAAATAGTGAACATTCCTGCAAGGATTTCCTTTTATAACATTACACTATTACTAGTAAAAGCATGCATAAATCAATATACTACATAGAAAGATCAAACATCTTTATTTTTTATATAACGTCATTAAGAAAACAAACAGAGCCTGAAACAGTGCTGTAGATACATTATAATGCTGATTGTGACAATCAGCATTATAATGAAATACTGTAGTTCTGAAGAGATGCCCTGGCTTACAAATCACGTTTGATGGTACAGACCCCACCACATTTCACATCATTATAATTCAGCTGGGTTTTTGTTTGTTTAATGTATGATGCAAAAAAGATAATTCCCAAACTAATTATGAATCATATGTGAATTATATTACATCAGTCAAAGTAACCACAACATAATAATTATAATTTTTCCCATATTGTGCGGCGCTCAATTAAATGGCCATAAGACCTAGTATTGTCAATGTATGACAGCTTCTGGATGACCACAACGCTGACGCATGCACAAAGGGGATAAGATGTTGGAAACATTTGGGATAATGGAAGTACACAACTCAACTACATATAGAACATATAGGGTGTTTATAGACAGTATTATAGAGATATTAATGTGGAAATGTTACGGATTATAGCTTTAATAAAGATCAACATCACCCAATACCATCTCCTCTCCATTCTGCTGTCAGTGTGGGACGGGCCCACCCCAGGAGCCCGCTGTGAGGTCTTCATCAGCCAGATCCCGCGGGACGCCTACGAGGATCTGTTAATCCCCCTTTTCAGCTCTGTGGGGCCCCTCTGGGAGTTCCGGCTCATGATGAACTTCAGTGGGCAGAACCGCGGCTTCGCCTATGCCAAGTACGGCTCACCAGCTGTAGCTACCGACGCCATGCGCCTGCTGCACGGTCACATGCTGGACCCTGGCTCCCGTCTCAGTGTCCGCCGCAGCACCGAGAAGAGACACCTCTGTATAGGCGACCTGCCAGCCGCCACCAGGCCAGAGGACCTACTGCAGGTACAGCAGCTCTGTGGCATACATTTCTTAATGTAGACCACCAACCATACCTGCTACAATTACATATCATATATTGCTGGATTCAGCACAGTCAGACCTTTCTGCCAAACCCTGGTTGGTGTTTCTGGGACTATCCCAGCCAAAGCTACATTTGAAAGTAAATGAATACATTCATTATAGACCATCATATTTGATATTTCCACCTATTGTAGTCCTGTATTTCCTCAATGTATCAAGATATTCAAATAATGTTTAAACTGACAGAGGAGCTCCCTGCCCACTGCCACACACACACATTTGGAATAAATCATATATAGCATTTGATATTAAAATGATAACCGTTTTGTCAGTTAAGGTTTTAAGTTCAAGGATAATTTATTTGTTGCCATACTACAAACAGCTGCTAATTTTGAAGTTTTTACCAGCGCGTACAAAATAGGCCTTCTGCATTGTAACTTTTAGTTTCTCCCGAGCCTGTGATATCCACCCACCATCTCTACTATGTCATCTTAACTTTGTAGTATTGGTTGGCCTCACCCACAAAGGTCTATAGTTTATGGGAAGAGGCGTTTGTGAAGAACAACTAAATAGTCAATAGAAAATTTGAATTACTGTTCTTACTGTGTTAATCAATGTTTGTCTGTAACTGCTGTTTGCTTCCAGGTGCTGCATTCACTGACAGAGGGGGTGGAGAGAGTGTCTCTGAAGGCTGGGCTCGGTATAGAGGGGGTGTCTGCTATAGTCGCCTTCTCATCCCACCACAGTGCTTCTATGGCCAAGAAGGTGCTAGTGGAAGGTAGGTGAGCTGCTATGGACTGATCCATTGGATCAGTGTATGGCTGTAAATATGGTCCCATTTATGTTGTCAACCTTTGACATAATACAGAATTTGTTTTTTTTTTGTCTAATAACAGTGATCTGGTTGATCAGCGGTCAGCTATAGATTTTTATTTGATATTATGTCGGTCCCCCCAATATATGACTTAATATTTTATCCATGAGTAATACCAATTTAAGAGTCTGATGCTATTTTCTAACACTGCACTTGCCAGGCTTCAGTCTATGTGTTGACCAATCAGCATCATTTAAGGAAGTACTGGCAGCTATGGGGGATGGCATGAAGGTGTGTCACAGTGAGAAGAGACTATTTGTTAAACAACGATGGCTTTCTAAAGAGGTTAGCATAGATGCTGCTAGCAGAGTAGAGAGTATTTCTATCTTGTTACAAGAGCAAATAAAGACACTGAGTGGTTTTCTCCATGGAAATATGTTTTTGCTCTTCTCCTGACAGACTACGTTATGTGGTTCGTTGTTCAATTCAATTTTATTTGTATAGCGCCAATTCAGTTATCTCAGGACACTTTTAGAATGGAGCAGGTCTAGACCGAACTCCTTATAACATTATTTACAAAGACCCAACAGTACCACCATGAGCAAGACCTTGGCGACGGGGGCAAGGAAAAACTAATACACTAATAGTAGTAACTGATGATAATGAACATGTAGAAGATGATAACGACAATGACAACAACGATGGGAGACAATGAACAGTGATTATAGTAATAATAGTAACTGTAGTAATAATAATAATAATAATAATAATAATAATTAAAGCTGCAAGCAGCGTTGGGCGGGACCTCGCACTCCACGCTCGGGGCGTGCTGCAACTGCTTCGCGTGCCGTCGTAACACGTGCGGACCACAACATGAACGCAGCGCTTACTTCTTGTTGCCAGTAGGTGGCGCTATCATTATGTCTGAATATTGTCATGTACACATGTTCAGGGCGGGACTGTTATCAAGCATTTGAAGTGTGGAGCCGATTGGACAATGTAGACTCAAGTTATAGCGAATTTGTGTTTTGTGGCGGTCCATCAAAATTTCCCGCCAGCCCACAGACACGCCCCCTCACCACAGTCAACACATATATCAACAATGTGTTTTGCATTTTATAAGTAAATTTCAGCTGGATCTGATCATCCTGCGAGGAGTAGAACATGAAAGTATAAAACGTGATACTTCATGTTACCAGTATGTGGCGCTATCACTGTCTGAATATTGTCACGTAGACGTGTTCAGGGTGGGACTGTTATCAAACACGTGAAGTTTCATTGAGATTGGATCACGTACGCTGACGTTATGAGGACGTGTTCAGGGTGGGACTGTACACTGAAGTTATGAGGACGTGTTCAGGGTGGGACTGTACACTGAGTTTGGGCGTGTTCAGGTGGGACTGTACATGAAGTTATGAGGACGTGTTCAGGGTGGGATGAACACTGAAGATATGAGTACTATCTGTTTGATGGCCAATCGGTGGAATTCGACACGTCGTCACGGGCACACGGTTAAACATACAGTCACAAATAGCACAACCTTTGATAACCAATGTGTGTAGATTGAAGTGATCGAATTTTAAGTCAATCTGATCAAATCTGTAGGAGGAGTTAGTTAAAACAGAAGCCCTTAAATGCAGGAAATAGCATCATAGTTTGACATTCGATTCAACCTGGCCAACTTTGAGGGAACGCCACGGACACTCCCTTTAATGTACATGCACAAATAGCACAACTTTTAATCAGCACCATTTTTTGACTGTACTGACCAATTTTGAAGCCTATCAGATAAATTCCCTAGGAGGAGTTCATTCAAATACAACGCGAAAAATTCACCGAAAATGCGCACGGACTTCAAAATGGCCAACTTTGACGGCACGTCAGGGACACGCCCTTCAACGTACATGCACAAATAGCACAACTTTTAATCAGCACCATTTTTTGACTGTACTCACAAATTTTGAAGCATATCCAATAAATTCCCTTGGAGGAGTTGGTTCAAATGAAAATCAAAATGGACTACTTTCTGTGGGGTTTCGGGTATTGGTCCAAGAGGCTTTTTTGTACGTACCGGCATGTTACACGTACCTACCAAGTTTCATACAAATCGGTGAAACGTGGCGCCGGTGCTGCTGTTTTTTTATCCTGTAGGGGGCGCTACAAACACGACAAACACGATTTTTGGTATGTGAGCTTCAGGCACCAGTCTATACGTGCTCTGTGAATTTCATATTCATAACTATTACGGTCTCCGCACAGTGATTTACCATGCCACCAGACCGCCACCTAGTGAGCCTCAGGGAGCCATGGGGAAGCATCGTACCAAGTTTCATCTTAATCACCGTTGTAAAGATATAAACTTCTTCATTTTAAAGAGCGCCACCTTGTGGCTATGGCCTGAAACTGTGCAAGATGCCTAAGGAAGACAAGTGGAACTATGGACCCAAGTTTGGTGTCAATGGGACATACCAATGTGGAGAAATGGTCCACTTCCTTTTTTGACGAAAAATGTACAGGAAGTTTGAATTTTATAGTGTGCTTATTTTTTGAAATTTCAAAAATGTTCAAATTACTTTTTTTGCCAGGGCGGTCCCCAGGTGCTAGGTAAAAAAATTTTGTGCGAATCAGACAAAGCGTGTAGGAGGAACACGAAAAAGTAGTTTAACGGCATTTCGCGCTCTAACGGAAAAAAATTATAGGCGGAAGTGGGCGGGGCCTATATAGGAAGATTCAGCTCCATTCACCAAACGTGTGGATACAAGGTTTTTGAATGTGCCATTCTCGAAGCTCACTGCTGTACTTTTCTCTTTTGTGTCCAGCATTTAAGAAGCAGTTTGCGTTGAGCGTCTCAATCAAGTGGCAGTCCACAGTGAAGCCGAGCCAGGACGAGCCTCTACAGAAACCTTCAAAGGGCCTCCTGCCGTCACCCCTGAAGCCGCCGCAGCACATACTCAGCTCTCCACGGCCCTCTGTCCTGCCTCCTCGCCTGGCCCGCCAACCATCCATCCCACCGGGTTTCTGCAGAGCAGTGGGAGGACCCACTGCCCCCCAGCACCTGCCATCTCCCTGCTCCTCCTCTTCCTCCCAGGGGCATCTAGCATCCACAGTATCCCCCGTGATGCTCCTACGCAAGATGTGTGAGGCGACTGGGGCTGGCCAGCCACTCTATGAG